TTAGGCAGATATCATATTATTCACACATAAGCCGTAAAATGATGTGTGTAAATAATCCTTTCACCTTAGCTTCTTTCTTTGGTAGTAAATTTTTATTGAAATGAACTCCAGTTTTTAAATATATAAAGTACCACCTTTATTCTTTTCCAGCCATAAAAGTTATTTTTACAGTGTTTTTTCTTTTTTCTTATGTAGTATTTCCTTAGCATGTCTTTTTCAGTACCTGTTATTAAATCCCTTTTCTAAGTCTTTTTATTTTTTGTTTATACAATTGTTCATTCATTCATCTGTCCATCCACTCATTCATTAATTCACTCAAAAAATGTTTATTGAAATATGGTGATAACTATGTGTGGTACTAGTTGGGATGCTGGAAATATCGAGGGGAACACCAAAGTATATGACTGTTGAACCTTTAAGCTGTACACCCAAAACTAATACATAATTAAAAAAGAAATGTTCACTGAATTCTTGTTATATGCTAGGCATTTGCTACATCATGTGGAAAGAAAATAAAGGGAGGAGAGAGAGAACAGAAATTATTTTGTACCTACACTATCAATACTATGAAATATGATTTGTATGTTTCTTATGATTTCTGATGTAGTCATCACATATAGATTTTACAATTTACATTTTACAGATGAGGATTTAGGTTTAGAGAGATTAAGGATTTGTATAGAGAACAGTTTATAAGCAACAGAGTTATGATTTGACTCCAGTAATATCTGATTTTATTGAATATATATCAGATATATCAGAAATGTTGCCTTCCTACATGGGAGACAGGTAAATAAAGTAACTATACATCTCGTCTGTATAAAGTGTATTGTTTGGTGTACCGTATCTCTGTGATTTGTGAAGATGTTTTCAGGGCTGCGCAGGAGAAGGCATGAGGTGCTAGCTATCTTTTCAACCCTTTACCCTTGGAAGCAGAGAGGCTTCTTTTATTTATTTATTTATTTTTATCCTCACCCGAGGATATTTTTCCATTTTTTTGTACAGATAGAGTGGGAAGGAGAGAGAGGAAGGGAGAGAGAGAGAGAAACATCGACGTGAAGGGACACATCGAGTGGCTGCCACCCGAACGACCAACCAGGGCCGGGGACAAACCGCAACCGAAGTACGTGCCCTTAGCGGGAACCGAACCCGGGTCTCTCCGGACCGCAGGCCGACGCTCTAACCGCTGAGCCAAACTGGCCAGGGCGCGAGAGGCTTCTTTTAAAAATCCATTTTATTTCTTGGGCTTTCTCATAGCATTTCATGTAAAAAATAGATTTTGTAGTTAAAAGGAAAAGACCTTAAGAGTCACTGGACAGACGAACTAATAGAGGTTGATAAATACGTATAAGTAGATAGACAGTCTTATACACAGCCAGAAAAGGAAACAGAACAATAGGAGATGAATGAGAGAATGAAAGAAGTTATAGATATAGTACTGTGGGAGTACAGAGGCAGGTAGGAGAATTTTCAGTTTGAGAACTTGTGAAAATAATGCTATTTGAGCTGTCTTCAAGGACAGGTAATATTTGGCACTGTAGGAATTTAAGGGGAGAGTGGTAGTGAGGATAGGTAGAGAACCCTGCAAGTAAGGGAAACAAAGGAAAGGAAAATAAGGAAACAAACGGCAAAACCATGATTAAAGACCTAGGGGCAGAGATGAGGCATACAGGGCAAATAGTTCAATGTGTCCACAGAGAAACTTGATTGTAGGAGATACAGGCAAAGAGGTTGATTGCTATCAGAATATGGCAAGTATTGAATGCCAGACTAAGGAGTTAGGTCTTTTCCGTAGGTTTGGGAGTCCTTTTAAGAGGTGTTTGAAAATATAAAGATGTGATGTATATTGATACTGATTAAGGATAATTGATCATAGCAGCATGTAAAATGGATTGGCTGTGGGAAGACCTATTGTGGTAGTCTAGGTGAGAGGTAATAGCAGTGGGAAAGAAGACAGGAAACAAATGTAAGTGATAATACAAAGGCTGGCTTATTAGTTATTGAGGACTGATGGAATTGGTGAGTTAGATACCAACAGTGATTCCAAGGTTTCTGTCCTGGAGGAACGGGAAGTTGATGGGCCAACTGGCAAGTTTGAGTGTTGAGTATATTAGCTGATTTCAAAAAGATTTGAGGAGTTTATCATAAGTGTTTAGACTAGAATATGATAGAAAAAGACAGGAAATGAAGATGAAACCTAAAAGGAATAATGATACAAAATTAATCCAGGAGATAAAAATACTCAGAGATGCATGTAATAAAGACCTCTGGTTTCTGAGATGGGGCGAAAGTTTACTGTCAAGCTTCCTAGCAAATGGGAAATCATCGCATTGTATACTACACTGTCTCAGAAGAAACTGCATTCACAGTCCATGATATAACTCATAGCAGTTGTTAGGAGTATAATTTTTGGTGCTGAGGCCTGAGAGGATTTTCTTCCATGGAAGCCTGTGGGGACACTTTATTGTGTAATCAACAGTCTCCTTAATTGTATCTCTACCATAAATATATCATCGAGTATTTATTTGAATCTTACATCTTTGACTTCAAGATAAGGAAACAGCACTATTAAGTATATGGAGTCTGACCTCAAGATTAGTGGTTTCTAACTGTGCTTATTGGAAGCATAGGAATTTCATCACGGACAGTCAGGTTCCTGTCTTATTCCCACTGTGGTCAGAGCAGGTCTGCCTTTATTTGTCTTACAGATTGGGCTTGCATTTTAAAATCTGGCGTTTGAATAGATAGTTCCATAGCTTGGAAAGGTTTGAACCACTGACAGCCGTGCCTCTGAAGTAGAGTTCAGGGGAAAATACTAAGACTTCTATTTATATATCTTTATATACTTTAAAATTTCTACTTTTTAAAATAATTTATATGGTAAATAATATGTCAGAAAGGTAATAGATGTGTATAATTTTTAAACAAATATACAGCGCTGGTCATTACATGTATATTTTACTGATGGGACACGTTGTCCAAAGAATGAGAGCCAGTGAGCCAGAGGAATGTATAGACAGTGACTTTGAGGTAACTTATAATAAATATCATTTCACAACATTTAACATTCAAAACTACTTGGTTTGCTGAAGATATTAAAGTTTTATTTTCTGGAAAGATGAACAAACTGGCCAATCTGTATCCTGTGTTGTTATTTAAAGCCACAAGCAAGTTCTTTTAGTAGAGTGAAGAGAAGTTTGTACTTTTTTTTTTTCCTTTTTCTTTGAATCTTTACCCGAGGACACTTTTCCATTTATCTTCAGACAGAGTGGGAGGGGGAAGGAGAGAGAGAAAGAGAGAGAGAGAAACATCGATGTGAGAGAGGCACATCGACTGGTTAACTCCTGCATGACCCTGACCAAGGCCAGGGACCTAACCGTAACCGAGGTACATGCCCTTGACCGGAATCAAACCCACAACTTTTCTGGTCCATGGTCCGATGCTCCAATTGCTGAGCCAAACCGGCTAGGGCTTTTTTAAAAAATTGTACTAAAATGTAATAATAACTTGATTTACTTCTTGAGATTTTTATTAGTGCTTGACATATTTTATCTCATTTAAATCCCATAATATCCATGGGAGACATGGCAGGTAGGTGTGTAGTTTTTCTCCTGTTTCACAGATAAGGAAACTAAGGCACAAGAGGTGAAGTTATTTTTCTTAAAGCCATGCAGAGAGATTTTCCATGTCTCTACCTTTTAAAAATTACTTTTTCTACTTCTTATCATTCTCTGCTAGCACCTTCTTAAAACATGGATCAAGGCTGCAGAAGCAAAAACCCAGAGTATTTGATAGATGCCAAGGATTCTATAGAAATAAGCATGGAGATAACAGCCTGGAAGAAGAAATTGAACGTTGACTGAAAATAGAAACCCTCAGATATGGATGGCAAAACCATTCTCCTGACCTGCAAATTTCTGTTGTTTATTAGTGGCTCCCTGTAGACCTGGGTTGAGAATTATGGTTATACAGCATTTCATTGGGAAAAAATGTTGTGTACAATGATGTCTGCTATGGGTGGTCTTATGAAAATTGGAATTAATATTCTATCTGGAATATAATCAGTATGGCAGCATCATAGAATTTTAAAAAGGCTTAGAGAGTATATATATATAGTTCAATACTGATAAGTGATGAATCTGAAGCTCATAAAAACTGCTTTGTCTTCTTATCTCATGATAACTCTGTAACTAGATCTTATTTTCTTATTTCTTCTAACTTGTAGCATAGTTTTTTAAAAGTCATACCATGTTAGAAAAAATTGGGGAGAGGTAGAAAGCTTAGAGAAAATCAGGGAAACTAAACAATGTGTAAAATTCAAGAGGGATAATTTATTAAGATTATGTCCTATGACTAGAATTAATGTTTCACTTGACTTTTTGATTTCCTGGCTGTCAAACTTTTATTTTTGAGTTTGTTTCCTTTGTAGAGCTACTTATTAGGTATTTGGGTGCTCTGAGCAAGTAGATACTGGTCGTGAGGCATATTTTAATATATAGTCCTTTTGTTAACATAAATCAGTTTGATAGACTTCGATTCACTTAGTTTAATGGAGACATTTTTGAACTCACAGGAATGAAGAATATTTTAGAGAATAAGTATATGGTAACTACTAAATCACTCTGCTTATAGAACACTCTCCTTCCTCTTGTTTTATTGTCTCCCTTATCCTAGCTCTGAGTCTTGGCTTTGCACATTATTTATTTCTTAAATGGCCTTTCTTTGTCTGCCCACTAAGTATATCCCTTTTTTTTTTTTTGTCTTAAGGACAATTCACCTTTCATATTCAGATTTTTCTCTCAGCCTTCTCAGCTAAGAGCAAAGTGTTGTTTCATACACAGCTTCCTTATCCAAAAAGTTGACATGCTTTTTTTTTTCTCTTCATAATTTTTAATGGATTTTAAATTTGTGGTAAGCAGATCTTTCTGTGGACTCTTAATCATTATTGGTTTGCCTATCATAAACAATCACGTGCTTAACTGATTATGTTCCTATTCTAGGTGATGTTCACAGGGAAATCTACAGATAGGGGCTCTCTACTGGAAGTTGGAATCTAAGGCAGTGCTCCTGTGGACATGAATGGAAAAAAAGCTCAGATAGAATGAAAAGAACAAAGCAGTGCACAAATGGGCAACTGAAGGCATGTCCTTTTTAAGGGTAGAGAGCAAGAATACAGGTAAGGGGACATTTAGGCTGAGTAAATGAGGGAGTTCTGAACAGTGTAAGAAGTAAAAGGTAAAAGTTCTGCTTAAAGCAGTCTGAGAAATCCCTTCAGAGGAGATAAACATCTAGGAGACTTGTATTAGTCTGACTCTGATACTGCTGAATATAGCAGATGTTCTTTTCTTTGTCATATCCACTTCATACCACCTTTTATTACTCTAAATTAGGGAATTTGAATTATTTGGCTTGACAGTTTTTCATATATACAGTATCTTCTATATTTCATGTTTTATTCAGTCAGTAGTTATAGAACGGAAAAAAGAAAAAAATAGGCACCTAAAATTCTAAAATACTTAAAAGTAAACAATTAGTATAAAATATCAAAAAGAGGAATTAGTTGCAAAATGAAAAGTCTGAAGACCTGTCAGCTTGAGGCCTCTGCTGGCTAAGATTCTAAAGTAGGCTATTAAAGACATGATTTATGAGCCACCTTTTGTAGTGAGTACTGGAAGCTGAATGGTTTTACTCATCTGTAGCCATGGCTCACAAAATCCGAGCTATGTCAAGGCTACTGGATTGCTACCTGAGGAACAGGGAACACATACAATGTGTTAAACTTTAGTAAGGCATTTGACAAGTTTGTGGTGAGGCAGCAGTGACAACATGGGTAAATGTAGAGTGGTAGCTAGTTAATACAGTTGTGCAGTTTAGTAATTTACACAATGTCTCAAGTTGTTGAAGGCATTGTTTTACAAGACAGAGTTATGCACCATAGGACTCTTGTTCAGTCACAGTAGATAAAAGGGGTGAACCTGAGAGCTCTCTTTAGGTCTGAAAAGTTGTCTTTTGGAGTAAAGAGGATTAGACTTTTTGTCAGTATCTTCAAAGAATTAGGAGTAAACTGCAGGATGCTCCTCCCTCAGCATCAGAAAGAACTCTGGAACAGAGATGAAGTGGACAACTTCAGGGAGCTGGTATTACTACATAAACAAGTCGGACACTTTCTTAATTGAATGTTGTTTTGAATAGGCTTCTCAAACATTGTTTTTCCTGGGGAGCTTGTGAAATCACAGAAACTGATCAGAAGGTCTGGGGTGTGGCATGAGGTTCTGCATTTACATACATGCTCTCAGATGATGCTAGTATTACCGGTCTGTAGGCTATACTATGAGTAGTGAAATTTAGACTCTTAAGAGGATTTAGGATTGGAAAGTTTACTATATGTAATAACTACAGTGATATTTATTTTTTCTCCCAGATTGGGTATAGGCACTTTACATTGCTATCTTACTTAATTTTCACAAAAAACTTTCAATGTAGGTGGTCATACTTTTTTATAGGTGGTAATATATTTACAAATGTAGACACAGGGAGCTTAAGTAGCTTGCTCAAGGTTTTATAGTAGTTGGTATAATTGGGATTTAAACTTAAGGGACACAAAAACCCTTGCTTGGTATGTCATTTTTTCATGTGATGCTGTCATTTTTGTGAAACTGATTTTCCCACTTAAAAATAGTTTGTAATTGTAGGAATTTGCTCTATTTTTTTACAACTTGAACATGGGGATAAAAACCCAAAATTGTTTGTTCCCAGTACCAAATTTGTTGTATGGGTTCAGGAAAAATAAGCTTTTTAAATATTAAAGCACACTATTAACTAAAATTTAAAAATTGTCATATTTTTTTTAGTTGAAAAATATTGACAAGCTTAAAAACAAAGTCTTTCAGAATTTTATTATTTAAACACAATAATCATTATTTGAAGTTTCTCTGATATACATTTATACATGTGTCTAATAGAAAAAATAGAGATTATGTTGTATATAATTAGTATCCTGTATTTCCCACTAAGTACAACTTTAATATGAGTAAATTAAACTCTTTGTCTTTTACCCTTTCCTATTTTTTATTAATCATTGGCACTATTACCATTCTTTCCTAGGCTATAATCTCACTTTCCTTAATTTTGTTTCTCTAAAAAACTGCTGCCAAATTCTTCTGCTAGTTTTTTCTAGTATCTCTTCAACTTGCTGATATTTTTTACATCCAGGCTTGTTTTTTCCTATAAGATTAATGACTTCTGAATCACCATGTCATTCTTAAAGTTCTTCATTGCTTCATTGATTGACTGTCCTGGCTGCCCACAAAACCTTTTGTCCTTCTTTTCTCACATTTTTTTTTTTTTAGTAACTTCTAATGAAATAAGTGTGAACACTTACAGAATTTAAACCTAAGTCAGTGAAGTATCTTACTCTATCAGCTTTTATTTCTAACCAAATCTTTTTCTAACTTCCTGACTCCATTGCCAGATAGGGTACCAGTTTGCATGTTTCCTTTTCTAAATGTCATATTTGAGACTTTATACTTGCATATGTATTTAATTTTAAAGAATAATTCTACTTTATTTAGGCTTTTTAAAGTTGTTGGTTTGATCATTGAAACACTACCTATCAAATTAAATATGGACACAGAATGACTGGCTTGGTCTGCTGACATCTGTAGACACTCAACTTTCCCTTCTCAGTTTTTTATTCTATGGCTTCTGGTCAGGGCATCTTTTCTCACTGGATCCATGTAGACAGAGAAATATAATCTCAACTCTACTCTTACCTTCTGTCAGAAAAAAGGATCTAGAACTCTTTTGTGGCTTCTCCAATAATTTTTGTTTTGGATCATAATGTAGAAATAGTTGTGGGAGAAATTGGGACAGTAGTGTATTATCAGAGATATACTTTCTAGAATCATGTACATAATCTCTTTGGTAGTCAAAGAAAAATGTACCCTTATCAGCGGATCTTTGGGAACAACAAATATTTAAGACAATGAGGATTTAAGAAATATAGAAATTAAGATTTAGAAATTAAGGTTGTCTTGGTCCCCTAGCATAAGTGTAGACATACAAACCTTTTTAGGTAGGACAGTGAGATCATGGTCAAGGGAATGTTCTAGATAATTATGGGAACTAGGATATGACTTTAGATCTGACTGACACCAAAGCTCATCATTGATATGATTAATGTTTTAATTTTATAAATAAGGAGGATTATAAATGCCTTGTGTTCAATTTAAGAGTTTAATTTTTATTCCTAAAATGGTATTTTCATATCACATGAAGTAAATATTGTGTGATGTAGACAATGAATAGGATTATTGATTATAATTATTGACAAAGAAGTATTTAATTCCTTGAAAATTTATTTTCTGATCAAACCTGACCTAAATCTTATCTTTTGGTATACTCTTAAGTTTTATTTTTCTCTCAATCTCTTTTGTTCTCAATGATCAGTATTACTTAAAGATATAATTGGGGAGAATTTGGAGACTCAAAGATTATCTTTCTATTTTGTCATTTGATAACTTTATGTTTCTGAGAACTAACACCTTTACAAATGAAATTTGGGGTTAGGAAGTAACTTCATTAAGGGTATATATAACACTATAAGGTAGTAATTAAGAATGAGAAGGCTTGGGTTTGAATCTCGGCTTTTCAACTGTGTGACCTTGATCAGGTTTTATTACCACGTTTTCAGTTTTCTCATATGTAAATAATTGCAATACCCATCTCATGCAGGGAGTTGTAAGAATTAGAGGAAATAATGTTTATAAAGGGTTTTAGCACAGTGCTAGTATAGTAAACAGTCAACAAAGGAAAGCTAACATAAAAAAAAAGTATTGTTTCAGTTAAGGTATATTCTGAAAATCATGGAGGTATGTTGTTAGGCACCTATGCCAGGTGGGGCCAAAGTAGGTTTATAGTTGTTCATATGAAAATACTAAATTGATAAATAATAATATAAGCATAAACTCTGTTTTGCGTATTCACAAATGTAAACCTACTTTTGCGCCACCCTGTATTTTCTTAAGATATTAATATGATCTTAATTAATTGCATTTAAAGTTTAAAATATTAGATTTTAGAATGGATTGAGTATATATTTATAATAGCTATTTAAACCTAAAAGAAAAATAAAAGTATTCATATATATTTTTTTACTGATTTCATGTTATTGAATTGTCTAAACTTCTTACTTTATTTTATTAATATTACTGGTTGGACACATCAGCATTGGCTAACATCACTACTACAAGAAAGAGAAGGAAAGCAAACTGAAATGTTAGTTATTTTATTTCTTATGAATCAGCTTATAAATGTTTGGGGGAGACAATTTGGAAATTTATGTATTTCGTATGTATATCTTACCCTTAGCTTAATTTCTGGGTATATAAAAGTTGGCCATCAATTGGCTCCTAAACTTGGGTAATTTATCTGGAAATCGTTGTTCAAAAAATTTCCAAGTCCTTCCCTTCTACTTTTCCTTCCCCAAGACCTGTTCTGAGGTGATTCCATTGATCAGCCAGATTTGGATACCACTGGGCTGTAACAGGTCCTGTGTAGGTAGTCCTGTGAACCCTTTAATGGAACATACTTGCTCAGTCCTTTTTTTTTAAAAAAAGAAAAGGACTTGTGGTCAAATAATAAAGCCACTTAGTTTACTTTGAAAGATATTTATAGCAAATGTAAGGCTTAAAGAAAATTTGTCAACTATTTGTGCCATCTCAGAACTCTACTCATTAGAATATTATATGATCGTGTTTTAAATGTTTATCTACCTTTAAGTTCCAATAGGTATTTTTTACTGAAAAATATAAATAAGATAGGGTACTAAACGTATAAAATTCTCATTTTTAATTCTATTATTTTTGTATTACTGTATTTCTGTGTTTTGTGATATCCTGCTTAGACTATGTCTCATGAAATGGTTTACACTAACGTGCCTCCAGAACAGGACCTGGGCTGAGGGTGAGGCCAGCAAGGTGCCTAGGGCACATTTAAGTAGGCACTTATGTCACTTTTGTGTGGGAGTCAGTACCTCCTTAAACTTTGTGCCCTAGATGCCTGCTTGCCTCACTCTAGCCCCAGCCCTGCCCCAGAGAAGTAGGCTGCATATAAATTGTTTTAATTTTAGTTTAGCATAATCTCATGCATGCTTGGATGTTTTATACAAAATTAATGACAACATGAAAATAATGTAGCCAGACCCAAATTTGTATTTCCTAGAAAAAAGTTAACTACTTGAAAAAGATAACATTATGATTTTATTCTTGCATGTTCAGTAATTGTCAGAGCTTCAGAAATTTCAGTTCAGTATAATCTTGTCTTACTGAAATATACTTGGTGGTTTTATCTGTGG